CTCTGAAGCAGAAACCGCCGACAGCGGTCGGGAGTTGGGCGACCAAAAAGGATGGCAGGGATCCTTACATTATACACCTGGACATTGCCTTGTCAATGGTGGTGTCCCTTTATTTTGGTGGAAAAAGCCATCTTTTAGGGAGCCCTGCATGGCTTGTAAGCAAATCAGTGACAGGCCTATTCAACATGATCTGTGGGCATGAAGATCAGTTTAGTGGCCAGACTCTGGCAGTTTTTCAGAAACACCCACCCACCCACCCACCCACCCACCCACACACACACACACACACACTTGAACTCCAGATGGAGAATGCTAATCTTTCGAGTACAACTGATGAGTCTCGAGTACAACCGACAAGTCTCGAGTAGGATGAGTTTCGGCTCGCAAGGCACTCGGTTTCCCTCTAGAGGCGAAAACGTTACAGAATCAACATGAAGCACACACAGCGAGAGAAACAACAGGCCAAAAGGACTTTACATCACCAACTCCAAATGTCGCAGGTACGTCGAGGTGATCAGCCTCGATATCCGCATTTGCTGTGGCCGCTTCGTTGGACCATCGCACACAGCAAACGGATGGTCCCCCTGCTGCAACAGAAAACGGTTTTGGTGGCAGGGTTTTCTGCCACTCCGCACACACACGCCCCTCTACGAGGGGCGAGGTTTCTCTTTTCTCCTGCAGGAAGATCACATGCTCAAACTCAAATCTCTATCGTTGACCAAAATATCCTCCACGGCGAGGGGAGCGAGACACCGCCCTAAACCGCTCAGAAGACGGGAACGAAAGATCACCACGTTGAGCATTGCGAGTGTCGCCATAGAGGACTGAAGCGATTTGCGAAGCAGCCGGGCGATCACCATGAGAAAACGGAGTGGCATAGGTGAAGGTCTCCTCAACTGGAACGGCATCGGAGTTTCGAACTTGACCAAGAGTCTGATCATGTGGATAGTGAGTTGCGAAGGACTCAATCCGAGACAAAATGCGCTGGTACCCTTGGTGTTGCCAGTCACGGATGTCCCATGCCTGGACTGGCGCATCGGGATCAGTCACCCGCTGCCATTCACGAAAAGAATTTTCAGGTAGATCAGGTACGGCGTCACCGCGGTGCCATCGTTGAGGTTGTCCTGGAGTGTATATCCGCACCCACTCCTGATCATGCCAGACCGAATATTCGAGCCATGGGTGCTGCTTCGAATCATCGATGTCCATGTCGAGGCAAGAGGCAAGGATTGTCGCGGGCTCCGATCCAGCTAGTAGATGAACAAGCACCATGCACAACCATGTTCAAACAACAGCCAAGCAAGATCATGCAAGTGTAGAGACCACCCTTATTTTGTACGCTGCGCTGCTCATGCAAGTCTAGTCTCAGTCAGCTCGAAGACGGGACTCATCTTGTCTTGGCCGCTGTCGGAAGGATTCACGGGCCGGTAGGGGTCGGAGACCCCAATCGTCTCCGATGGTGTGTTTCCACGCGATGCACGTACTGGTTGATGAGGATGGGAGGCCAGACGTGCGCGGGCCGTCAGTTGTTGAGAAATCCCCTCCTGGAGACGAGTCAGTTCTTCAGTGGAGAAATCAGCCGCATCCGAGGACCTGAGAATCGCGTCTAACAGCTCCGGCGACATACTCAATGCCGCAGACTGCGTGGCCACGCTGTGATGATCGGAGGGATACATGGAATCAAATTCATGACCAGCGTGAGGGGCAGCGATTCTCCGATAGCCCTCTGTGGCCCAGTCTCGTTTGTACCACGTAGTGACTTGGACCTGCCCTTCGACTGAGTCCTGGTTGGGAGCATAGAACTCCCTCCATTCTCTAAAAGTATGCGGAGGAGGTGGAGCATCATGTTCTTCTTGTGGCGTCCATGGTCCCGGATGAAAGATCTTGACCCACTGGGCATCTGGTTGTTGAGGGTCCGGGCACCATTCCAGCCACGCCATGACAACGCAACCACGGAAAGACAAGTTGATAGGTGTACGGCTGCAGACAACAACGAGTGAAAGCAAATCAACTATCATAATGCAAAAGACCACTTTTGTAGCACTGTGCGGCGCCAACATCAAAGTCAGACTCTCCAGGAAGGCGAGGACGGGCATCAGCTATCATGTGAATTAGATGATGCCGAGGAGGAGGTCATTCCAGCATACATGAGGTCCGGTGCACCCGAAGCGAAAACTGGCCTCGCTATGCTGGGATGTGGACGACCCAGGCGTTGGTACCCCCTGGTGACCCAGTCCCTGTAATACCAAGTGTAGAAGGTGGCGTAGGATACCGGTTGCAGAACCGTGCCTGTGGTTGTGCCGCCCGTGCTTTCCCTGGGCCAGTACACTTCGAAGTGGTGGACCTTGCGCCATTCCCGATAGGTGGTCGGGTCATCCGGGGCCGGTCCCAGGGTGTCAGGGGCTACTGGATGCCACTGACCCGGCACATAGATTCGAATCCATTCCACACTCGTTCCTGCTCGCCCATTGACGATGTCATAGTCAAAATAGCGAGGTAGGACCCATCGTGCTGCACCCTGCACTGTACTATTGAACATTTCAACCCGACAAGCTGCTCAAAGTTATCACGGAAAGCGGCGGACACATAGAGACGACATGCACAGCACCAAGCAAGACAACCCAATGTGAACTCACATACAAAGCAAGCACAACCGCATCTTTATCCAACATGCTACTCAAGTGTCAATCCGAATCATTCCAAGGATCATGGAATGGCGGCGGTGACGGTTCCCGCCACGCCCCATCCGGTAGCGACGAGCCCACCGAGGACTCGACGTCTGCATTGACGAGCATCGCGAATCCGATGGATTGGACAGGAGGTCCAAGTCGTTGGTACCCTCGTGTTTGCCAGTCTCGGTACTCCCACACGTGGTAGGACACATAGGAACTGGGCGTGGCTATAGGATCCATTGTGGTGCCTCCGGTGCTGTCTTCAGACCAGTACACTTGGAAGTGATATGATCTGCGCCACTCCCGATACGTGGAAGCGTAAAGTGGGTCCGGAACTGGCGCCTCCTCAGGAACGGGCCTCCAAATGCCCGGAGTGTAAATTCGAATCCATTCCACTCCTCTATCGATCTGGTACTCGAAATACTGGGGGTTCATAGCAGCAATACGGGCTTGCACGACTGCTAAACCAGTCGAAAGTCTGCGGCAAGGACACACATGCATTGCCAACCACACATATCCGCTGAAGAGCGAGGCAACTTTTCAAACACAAGGTGAAACGCAGCAACGAGGTCTGAAATGTCTGACTCCTAGCTTTCACTGTCGTTGATGTCGCGCACACCTGCAATGATAGTGACCTGGTCGTCTACGAGCACAAGGGGAAAGACATTTCCGTCCATGGCGCAGGATGGCGTGACAGTAATGCTTGCATGTTGCCGATGGGGATTGCGATAGACGGCCAGCACGTTTGGAATAAAACACTGTAAAGGGCCGTCGAGATCGCCGCGGTGCTGAAGCTGATGCTGTCCGAGATCGTTTGGACGAGCGCCCTGGACTGCGTGGTACTTCATCACGGGAAGGGTCAGTGCTGTAGATCGAGCGGCGTGTGCGCTGCGATTTCGAAGAGGTAGGGCAGGATTGTCCGCGAGGGGCTGAGATCGAGGGGCTGCGTACCGAGGGCATAAACTGTGGGTGTAGAATCACCGGTGGTGGTGGTGGTGGTGGAGGAGGAGGTGGAACAAGCAATGGCAGACTTGGCGGGGGCGGAGGCGACGTAGTCAGCCGAATGGGTCTGTCGAGTAGAGCCCCGGGTCCATGAAATTGTAGCCACGTCGGCTGCGCTCCATGGGTCCAGGTAATGTACGTCTGTACAACTTGTTCTGACATGATTTGAGCAACTCAGGCAAGACATCACTGCATGTCAACGACATCTCACAACACGACAAGCAAGATTGAGTCACGTGCAAGCAAGCAAATATCATGTGATCAACAACTCGAACCGGACACACCGCCGCTGCTTATCATTTGGTCCATCAACGGTCGCTGCTGCATTTGACGGGCATGTTCCTAGCCGCGAGCCTCAAGTTGTTGATAGACCTTCCATGCCTGCTTGACTTCCTCAATCGGCTTCTGAAGAAACCGCGCTATGGTCTTATAGGTGGGCCTGGAATCCTTATCTTTCTTCCGTCTCACCATTTCATCCAGCTCGCCCTGTGTCCATGCCGTGAAAGGTTCACGGTATGCATTGCGAAGTGCAATGGTAAATTCTTGTAGAAGTTCCCGAGGACCATGAACCACCGTCGGCGACGGCCGGAACGACGAGGCACCTGGATGCGGACGTACCGAACCATCAGAATCCGAATCAGGTGTCGTAGGCGTCGTCTGTCCTGGCTCTCGTCCACCGTGTGCCGCGAAAGGAGCAAGGGGACGAGGCGGTGGCAGTCGATCCAACATAGATTCGGGCCGAGTACCAGGATTGTGGTCACTAGCATCACGATGTGCCGCTCGAGGCGGGGACAAAGCCGGTATGTACCAGGTAGATGACGTGTCCACCGGTCGAGCCCGAATGCGTGTGGGGGATCGAGATCGGTCAGATGAGGCGTGCTCCGTGATGATGCGGGGCCGCAACCCATGTCTAGAGTTTCTTGGTGCTCTCGGGGTCACCACCGTGTCTGTCGGACGACCACGCTCCGTCATCAAGGCAAAGTTCAGGGTGTCCAGAGCTGTCGCAACTTGGGATGCAAGGACATTGAGCACAGCCACCAGGTTGTTCACAAACTCAGCTGACAACTGCATGGCAACCGATCAAACCACAAGGTCAACTCAAGCAAAGCTGCAAAGCGATAATGCTGCGGCATGACAGAGATATGGTGCATGCAAGCATGAACGTAGCAAACGCTGAGGTACTTTTGTCGCTGTTGCTCCGTCACCGTTCATAAGACAGACCTGATGGTCTGCAAGCTGGCATGGCTTTGACCGCCGGTGGATACTTAGGAGTGTGAGCATGACGGCGGACCACGGGAACCGCATCAACAGGACGGTCTGGGAGCC